TAAACCTGCTGGCAAGCGGCTCTGAGCTCGCGGGACGGGCGAGGGGGGAAAAAGTGTGGCGATGGCTGTTTTATTCAGATTTCAAGCCGGGCAGCGCTGACTGCAGGCGGTTGGCGCGCTGTCCGTCGGGCCCAGCTCCGGCAGCGGGCAGGCGGCGGGAGGAGAGCAGCCAGCGGGGTGAGGTGCGTGTGGGGGGGAAACAGCTCTGGCGGCGCTGGACAGACAAAAGCCCACGCAGCAAAGGCGAAGCAAGTTTGTCATTCGGTGATTTTTTCCATCTTAAGCAGCTACACTGATTATAGTGAGAGAAAAAGTGCGCACGCGCTACAGGAGACAGCTGCTCCAAGTTCAGTTGCTTTTGCGTCTTTCGGTTGGTAATTCTTCCCGTCCCCCCCCCAAACAGGCTAACTACGGGCATTGCCAAGCAGCGTTAAGGGCTGGGAACGCACTATAAACCTTGCAGGAGCCTCCAGTTTTGCAGGAGATTGTCAAGGCTGTGAAAAATGAGGTCAGGGCTCTTCTTCGGTGGGGGAAGAGCATAAAAAAAAACCCCAGACATGAAAGGAATGCACCAGAAACAGGAAGACTCACGGGTTTCAGTGGGCTTCAGACCAAATAAAAAAAAATCCAAACAAGTCATTAAAAAAAAAAAACCTTTAGAATTATCTAAAATGTGTTCTTTAAAACCTGCTGGTTGTACCTAACCTAGTTCACCTATGATGATCAGTACGCATGGAAAGGAGCAGGCTGTGGTGCTCTCAACGAGATCCTCTGCTGAACATTTCTTCAGGCCTGGGTTGCCTTTTGCACTAACACTTCAAAACATGGAAACAGTTTAGAAAAATCCTTCTGCTTTCTTTATTAACCATTTAAATGAAGACAAAAACTCCATAGCTTCGGGTAGGTTGGGCTTTAGACCATTGAGAGGAGTAGCAGGAAATAAAAGGGAAATATTTAGTCTTGCTTTACAGTTTTGAGTCTACTTTGCACCCTAGGAAACCTTTGAAACTCTTGATAATTGTGTACACAGAATTCAAGAGCAAAGGGCCTGATCCTGCAGCCCTTATTCCTCAGATGGCAATAGATACAAATTCCTAGCAGGATGGCCTTTTTCTTTTAAAAAGCTCTGTAAACAGAAGGATGTGAACCACAAGTTCGCGTGCAGCGCTGCAAGAGAATTACAGAAAGATAGTTTCCAAACCTGCAAAAACTTCAGCAGGTACTCAAACTACACATACAAAGTGAAGAAGTTATCAATGCCAGTGTGTCCTCAAACTGCACATTATGTCTAATGGTTTATTGTGGATGTGCACCAAACTCGTCTTTTCCTGAGGAATAAAGAAACTGCAGATCAGAGCGAGGAAAGATATCTAAATCGCAATGAATGGCCAAGCAAATGCAGACGTATTCTATGCAGAGTGTATTTTCTTTGCTTTAGTAGCAGCTTCAATTTCTTCTAAGATTGGCACTGGTCCTGCATAGTTATTAGTTTCCATAGCTTCTAATTTCTTCTGATATTCTCTTGGTAAGCCATTCTGTTTTGCACCCATGCAGATAACCTACAGTGAAAAGGGGTGGGGGAAAAAAAAGCCCTCAATAATAATGTTATGAAGGAGAGACCCTTATGGACATTTTTGCTCATACAGGAAGAACCACTTAGGCTAAAAAGAGAATTAAACACAAATAATGCTAGAGGTTGATACCAGGTACTACCAAGACAGACCCCTAGGATCCTGAAGAGCTATTAACATGCACAAGACTGCATGATTAAGCTCCTGTTCAGTTACTTGGTTCTTTCCTCCAGGGAGGAAGAGGACTTCTATGTCTTCAGCCAACTTTAGTATCAGATCTGAGTGAAAAGCAGCATTTATTATTGAAATTAGTTTTGAAACTAAACTATTTGAATCCAAAGCACAGCAGTGAGTACCTAGACAGGTTATAGGAGTAAAAACAGAGTAACGGAAATAGGTACTCAGCTTAGTAAAAACACTTTGCTTAAAGTTTGTTACTGCAGCTTTCCTTCTAGGCACAAAATAAGCAGAAGTTTTAGTGCCAAAGAAACTAAATGGCAAAGTGAGAGGAAAAGAGGAGGCTGTTGGAGCCAAGACTAGGAAGGACACCAGCAAGTTCACATACAGGAATGAACAAACAGATAAATATGCAGATTTTAAAGGCTGACACTATTGTAAATATTATTTAAATAACATTCCACTCATTCAGCAGCCAGGAAATTCAAGGATGTCTAGAACGGTATGAGCTTTGCCACAAAAGTACAACACACTAGATGGATGTGGATCACTGTGTGCAGATGCAATCACCTGTACTAAATTCTAGCCCTCCTGCCTGGCTAACTTTGCTTAAACGAAGAAGAGCTGGAGGAAAAAAAAAAATCCAACAACAAAAACCTAACAGCTAACCCTGACAACAGCAGGCGGGAATGTTTAACTAGTTAAGGCTGCCAATATTCAAAGCCTGCTCTTAGAGCACGCTAGTGAGAGCTCACACACAGCAGCAGACTCACTGTATTGGTCTTAACTCCTTGAAAAGCCTTAAAGATCTGTCTGGACAGAAAGGGTGGGGTAGAAGGTTTGTGAAGTGGCAAAGCTTGCTTCCTAAGCAAGCTTTCTTTGCAGCAGTAGGCCTTAGCCATGCTCTTGGAAGCTGCTTCATGTAGGTGAGTTCCTCAGTTAGGTGAAACAGTTGCACATATGGGATTTAACAGGCTCAAGCCCCTTGTTCTTTGCTTTCAGTAGAAAAAGTCAACACATTCTGATGCTGTCTATCTGCAATTCCTAGTAACTGTACAATTTCAGACATGCAGTCATGTCACCCAAGGCTAGGTCCTCATCAGGTCTCACAAGCTAAGCAGGTCAGGCCTGCTGAGTGAGTGGATGATGCGTCTCTATAGTCAGTGAATTGCAGAACAGTGTTGAAAGACTTCTGCCTCCCCAGTCATCAAGCGCAGTGCTCCACAGTGGTGCTGAAAATCCTGTGATACTGGGCAATGCATCTGATGACAAACATCACTCGTTTTAAAGATAGTGTTTTGTAAGAGAACAGAGAAAAATATGTGTCCTTGAGACTCCAAGCCAGGTGCTTGGAGTCCCAAAGACACAGAAGCTTCCCTCTGTCCTTTTAGTGGAGCACATTCATTTTTAAGACCAAAACAGAGAATTGCTGCATATATGGAAACATCTGGCAATCCTCAGAAATCCCTGTGTGTCAGTTATAACTAACTCATGGGTTACAACAGAGACTTGGAGAGATTTACCCCTGCGTATTTGACTGGAACTAAAGCAAAAACCAAAAGTGATTTAGTAGGGTCTTCAAGAAGCTAGGAATCTTCTGTAGGCAGCACTGCACTAGTACACTGCACACGGATTAAGTTATACCTTTACATGAGAATTAACTCACCCCTTCTGTCCTATTTAATAAGCACTGTATTTACAGTGAATGGAAGTACTGCACTACGCATTTCTGTTCATGCTTTCCAAATGACAGCAACGCAACACCTACCTTTTTATACTGGGGAGAAGGGGGACCACAGACACAATCACGCATCTGGTAGCTTCGACAGGTCAGTGCTTCTCCTGCTTGAGTGTGGACATTAACTTCTATTGGGACATAAATGCCATCTTCAACTCCCTCTTGCCTGTAAAGGACATTCCTTTCATGTCAAATAGCCGATGCATGGGGACAGCTATATAATGTCTTTCAAACAAAGTGTGCAATTCAACATCTCCATTTAATATAACAGAATTTAAGGCACAACACTGGACTGCACCATTGACTGAATTGAAACAAAACAAAATCCTGTACTTTTTGTCCAAAAGTTGTCTGTTGTTTCAGATCCAAAAATAAGTTTTCTAAAGAATGAGCAGCATTGACTTTTATCATTTCAGTAGTGGAAGGAAGAAGCTAGTGGCTAACTTGCAAAATTAGAGAGAGAATGATGCTTGTGAATTAGTTAATTACTGTGCAAGTTTTATAATCTACAACAGACACAAAACCAAAATTATCAGAATTAATAAGCCAGGCACATATCATTCATTATCTTCCGCTCAGATAATGAAACAATTGCAAAGTTTTATCTTGCCCATTGTGTTGCATTTGAATAAGAGGAAACTTGCATAGCTCTGGCAACGCACAATCAAGTGAATAATCCAGGACACCCTTTCATTTGCACAAAACTTGCAGATCTTGTACAGCAGCAATGACCTAGATCAGGGTGAAAACCATTCCATTTTGGTTTTTTTTAAAACCGCAAAATCACGCTACCTTAGGGAAAAAAAGGCTACCTTCTGTCTTTAACCATTAACATTTCACCACCAATAAAAGTCTGAGGAAATAGTAAGAAATAAGAAATTAAAGCAATACAAGACAGACTTTTTATATCATAATTAACTTCTTAAATGTGCTGTAGGTAAGAGTGATAATATGGCTTCTAACCATGCTTGTCAAAATGACACCCAGATGTTTGACACGTTGTCTCTCTTTTAAAGGCTTAATACCATTGCAAGTTACTTAACATACATCACAGGCCGTGTTGTGTGAGTAACTAGGTAAGTGCAGGCAGAGACTGGAAGCTCAATCAAGGCCAACAAAAAGAACACAAAATAGAGTCACATGGGAGTGTGAGATCAAGGGAAAAAAAAATACAATTAAGTAACACTGTCTGCTGGGATGTAAGAGGAAAAGTCATGTGTTACTTGATGGTCTGTTGATTTGTGACATACAGAAGACAGAAAAAACCCTCAGGTCTGACTGTGAAAAAGAGCACTGAAACCCATTCAGAGACAAAAAAAAATTAATCATCCAACCAAAAGATTCCTCTTCCATATTTGCATTCTAAATATTACATTGTTTCTCTAGTGTCTGAACGACAAACAGCATTAACTACACACTCCTCCTTCTGTTTCTGATTAATAAAGCACCAATTTCTTTACCTAGACAGAAAAACTGGGTAACAGGACTTTTTTCTGATGCATGGAAATGCCGGAAAAGATTAGTTGAGAACTTCCAAATAAATCTGCTTGTGCGCAACCAAAAAATCCCAACATCTTCAGCACCAATGCGTGCGCGCTCATTAGAACTGTTTAGAAGCAATCCTTAAAAGAACACTATCAACTATCATTACAAAGGCCCAATGTAAAAGTTTGACAGGTAAATGATTTATCACCAGGGGTTTTAGAGGGAAGATATGCAGATAAGGAAACCACGCCTTTATGTATTTATAAGAACAGTTTCCTCTCTGGTTCCTTCTCACGTCACAGATTTTTCTGTAACAATCCTGTCAGGTGCCCAATCATTTATGCAATATAAAAGATGGGGCAGAGAGGACCCAAAAAAGTACTGTGCTGATTTTTCAATTTTTGGCCTGTAGAACCCTTAAGTACATAGTTACTTCCTTCAGGCTTTGCACAAATCACACTGCCTTAAGTTTTGCTTCTATAAGAATACACGCCAGTGGAGCAAGGAAAAGTCAGATCTATCTTTCTCCGATTTCTAGATCACCTTCATGACACCAGTGAGGCAGCTGGAAAAAAAATAACCTTTACTGCTCATGTCCATCCTTATAGTTTTGGTGAACTTACAGCACTCAAGTCTCTAGGCCTACCTACAGCATCTTAGCTAGCATTAGAGTTTATCCCCTGTCAAAAATATGCCAGGGATCTGCGATTCTGCAGTATGTAAGCTACATTTCTAACAGTTAAATACAAAATACTGTCCCATAGCAGGGAAAACCGTGCTACTAGCAAAGCAGATGCTGCCAGACAGGTCGGAAGGATCTTTATACTTGGGAAGTGCGAAGCTTCAGGAAAGAAGGGTAAGTGAGATTTTAGCAAAGATCAGCAGAAAGAGAAGCAGGGAGGAAAGTAAGTGTTAGTGCAAGCAACAGAGGGGGAACTGAGGAGATGTCAGACCTCCCAGATGACATTCCCAGGACGTGCTGAAGGCAACTTGGTCAAGTTTCTGTTATCTTTTGGGTTCACTGCAGGCAATGGAAAGCAAGTTGGAACTTCAAGTTTCATGGCCAAGGTTATAAGGACATGATTGCACAGCACAGTGTGGCAACAGCCAAAATTGCTATGGTACCAGAGGCAGCAGAACTGCACCAGATTAATGCTTAGGACTAGTTGAATATGCCCTTTTTCCTTAGCCTCACTAGCCCAGACTTCTGCTGGAATTAGCTGAGATTGCTGAGCTGCTTTGAACAAACTATCCTTGTGTACCAGAAGCTCTGTGCGGTGCTGACAGTGCAGTGAACACAGGACACCAGCCAAAGTTTTGGAGATGACAGTCCAAGTCCTCACTTGGGCCCTGCAGGAAGTTATACACTCCTTGATTTGTTTACCCAGGTGGTCACCCAGAGGTCTTCAACCTGCATACGTGCTGGGAACAACTTGCTCAGGTTGTCTTAAACTTGTCTTAACTGTCAGGCCCAGGCAGAGCATTTCCAATGTGCACTGCAAGGTGCTGGTAGCCTTTCCCATAGAAAGGAGCATACAAGACTGCCCCAGCTCCCTGCCTGGATCCACCTTTAAGTCTACGAAGGTTAAAACCTTAAAAGGCAAGACATGCAAAAGTAGCTTCCCCAAAAGGTCTCTTTGCCCGTATTAAAGACTTGCACTTGCTTTTCTAATGCAAAGTCAGGTTCTCACCCTTTCCCTTTTCCCCTGTGACCGGAGTCTACATGTACTGAGACAGAAACTGGTGCCAATCTGAAAGCAAACTCTCCCCAGAGTAATGGAAAACAGCTCACAGATCAAACACAGAGTCTGGAGTCAGATATGGGACAGGACATTGTGGGGAGGGGTAAAAATGTAACCTGACCAACATCGTTCCAAATCAAGCTTCATACCATATTAAAATATCTCTAAGTAGCTTTAGCTTGGAAGACAAAGCCATTTAATCACAAATGCTTTAGAAGTCAGCACATGTACTGTGGAGTAAAATTCACATATTAAAAACATCTTGATCCCAACCAAAGCCTCCACACTGGCTTTTACCAAAAATAAACTATAACTTTTGAATTGCCCTCTGAAATAACACGAGACAGCAAAGTTAAGTCACCTACTTATCCAGAGAACTTAAATCGCTAGCGTTCATTTTCCACACTATTCCCCATACTTCGTCTCCAGGGCTCTGAACAAGGGTAGCTGTACCTCCATGCCAGAGGGGACATGTTCTGCCTTGATGATGGCCAAAAGCGAGCTTAAAATCCTGCAAGCGAAACCAATGCAGAGAGTCAGTTTACACTTACAAAGTACATAGTTCTTTTTCTAGAATAGCACACGTGCCCATTTCTGCACCAAACGCAGCAGTTCTGAGGGAACGGCAGCTTGACTTTTGTCCACGTGAGCAGTGACAGGACTGACGTGCTTCCCTTTGAATGAGCTGAAGGGCCGTTGGCTGGGGTGTGCCACGGAGGAGGGAAATGACTGCTGCCTTCTTCTCTTCCTCAGGAGATGATGTGCCTGCCTGATGCCCGTTCCTTTGCAGCTTTCGGTGCTAACAGAAGTCATAAACGCGACCATGCAAAGTCCAGGAAAATAGCAACCTAAAAGAAGCCTCCAAGATGGTGAGTTTTGGTTCTTTTCTCATACACTAACAGAAACTGCTCAGGTATAAAATATCATGTATTTTCCAGTGTTATGTGAAATCTGATCACTCAAGTGGAACATTCTTGGGTATTTGTAAGTCAAGTCATGTGCCTCCCTAACTGAGCTTGTTCAGGTTCTCAACACTCTTAAAAAATCTATTACTTTATATGCCTGTGCACATTAATATTCAATTCCTGGGACACATTACCTTCTTGAAACATGTCTTAGCAGATATGGGATTGATTGTAACAGATGGTAGAAGCTGAACACTTGGAGGCTTAAAAAAATAAAAATCTACATCAGTGTACAGTTTACTCCATCAGTAGAGTCATCTTTCTTCCTCATAAGGAGTCCCTCGTTAAACCCAGTTTCTCTAGGAAAACAGAATTTTACCTAGACCCGCTAATCATCAACCATCCTACAAGCTGCTGCCAAATGGCTTTGCAATGTTTGGGTCACTGCACATTGACCAGGACTGTGGACTAGCCCCTGCAGACAAGTCAAGCGTGAAAAATTTGCAGGCAAGTAAATAGTCCAGTCAAGTAATGGCCTGAAGCTATAGATGTGTACAAGTGTTTGCAGGGCTGCTGCCCCCAAGGAAATACTCCAGTAGAACCAAGCATACTCACAGCAGTCTAATAATTTAAAAAAAAAAAAAAAAGCGCTACCACTTTCTCCAGTTTTATTTTCTTGGACCTGACCTGTATTTAATAGCTGCAAGAAAGTGCACAAAACCTTCAGGTACCACCCAAGAAGTGCAACACAATCTGTATAGAAATAACGAGGTTAGCTAAGATACTGGAAGCAGGAAACACTGCGTTATGCTACGTGGGCAACCTCATCAAGCACTGCAAACATACTAGATGCCTGGTTCAAGAGCTTGGTCTTTGGCCTTTCTTCTAAATACTAAAGAAATGAGATTTCTGTGTTTGTTATACATTCCATTTCCTCCAGTCTTGGACTGAAAATTAAGAAATGTTTAAAAATTGTATATTCCTCCAAAAATTCTTATTCTTGTTTAGCATAGAAAATATCCTATTTATAGGCTATTTTTATTTTATTAAGCTGCCATGTTTTTACCATAGAGTAATTAATAGAAGTCAACTCCAACCTTTGTGTACTTCTTTGCTCAGAGATATCAGTGATTTTCTAAGAGTCATCTTGAGGCAATGGACTGAAGCCACCGTGTGTTAACAGGGAGCATAGCAAGTGCTCAGAGGTCTGCTGGACAAGGCAGCGACAGAGCTCCTGCAGCTAACTTGCACTGTGACAACAGACACTTACGGTGTAACCTGAAAATTTACCTGAAATACAAGAGGAAAACTGCCGCAAGGCAAAAGTCTCCATAGGGCTCTCTTTTACACAAAGGTGCTTACCTTTGAATAAGTAGCCCAATACTGCTACTTTCCTCCTAACTCCAAGGCTTGGTCCTGCAGGGTGCTGGGCATTTGGCATATTTAGCTTGTTAGTGGTGTCCCTAAAGCGTGGGGCACTTAAAGGAGCAGACAAACCCTAATTGCCAGGTAGATGGTCCCAGGAGACACCAAACATCTGGCTGTAGGAGTTTAATAAACGCAAGTGTTTCTGGAGCTTTGTCGTACGCTCTCTAATGCTGAACATTTTCTGCCCAGTTACCCCTAGAGAACCTGCAAATAGTCCTTAAGTGGTATCAATAAATGTTCTGCTCCTCCAAGGATCGTTCTAATAGCACAAATCTGTACATCAACCACTTAATGACAAGGAGCTTGTGCTTCCCAGTCTGCATTAAAGCCAAATTGATATAGTAGCATTTAATAACTGTTCAGAAAAAACAAACAAACTCAATTGCAGCAGCCAGGCTGTAGAAAGGCGTCAAAGAAGCTACCTAAAAAATACGATGCACGTGCAAGCTTCCTTCAAGTCATCAGCTGGTTTAGGGAGAAGCTGAACAGTTACTCAGTGAATCCTCACATACCCCCACCAAGAACGGGCATCGGTCCTCAGCCAC